ATAGATAGAAAGAAACTAAGATAGATAGATAGATAGATAGATAGATAGATAGATAGATAGATAGAAAGCAACTTAGAGAGATACGTACGAATTTAGATGGTTTTGGGAAAGAAAGAAAGAAAGAAAGAAAGATTGCAAGAAAAATAATTAAAGAAAGATATATATTGCAGTACGTGAAAGAGAATGGGAAGATTTTAGTGAGGAGAAGGGAGGAGAAAGAACAATAAAGGAACTGGTTTCAGGAATACAGAAGATGGCGATTATCGTTGCATTTGAATTTTTGACAATTTTAGTTGACAGAAAAGCAAGAAATCGGAAAGGATTTTTTTTATAGGCGAGTAAAGAAACTATTAGAACAGACCATACGGCTACATCTGGCTAATCAAATAATAAAATAGCGATACCTTTTTCGCCAATCTCGTAGCACGTTTTTAATTCACGCATCCGAGGCACCAAAGAAGGAAGACAATCAGAAAAAAATTGTCATGAACATATTTGTAGAAAAAAAACCCAGTGCGTAGCCACGTCACGTCGGTGAGAAAACTCACTAAAGCAGAGATGCCAGGTCAGGACTGATTATATAACATACCCTTTGAATTTTGTCTAGACACTCGAGATATATAAATGCAGCACCAGGCGTGAGATAACTGCAATATTTAACCATAACACTGAAATTTTGAAGATCCCAGGTCAGGCCCGATTATATAACATACACTTCTTTGAATTTTGTCAAGACTCTCGAAATATATGGGTGCAGCGCCAGACGAAAAATGGCTGCAATATTTAATCTGAAATCTGAAATTTTGTTGCCCCTAAATTAATTTTAAAGATCGAGAAATTTTAAATAAAAATATCTTTCAGTCTGAAGTCGGGCGACCGGCTGACCAGCTGATCGGTTGAACTCTCTGCCTTCGGGCGGGGAGGAACCCGAACGAGGCTACGCCGAAGGGCGGTGTCTCTTTCCGGGAGGTAAACTGTTTATACGGGTTCAAAGGGCATATTCTTTTTTTACCTGTTTCTTTTTTGTTTCATTTACTTCTCACCAAAGATAAAAAAATATTTTATAACTTTACTCTCTTCTTCACCCCCCTCCCTCTCTCTCTCTCACACACACACACTCTCTCTCTCTCTTTCGTTCTTGTTTTTTCTTTCTTTTCCTCTTTTTTTTCATTTTCTTTTCTTTTGTTATTTTCTTCTTTTCTTCCTCCTCTACAACTTCTCGTTCTCTTCTTTTTCTTTGTTTGGTACGACTTATTATGCAGTTATTTATAATTCAGTTGCTTCTGTCTTTAATTAATGTTAAGTTGATTACATTGTCAACGCGCCAACCAATTAAGAAAGCTTGATCTCAGAATTGTTCGTCGGCTTCATTTCTTCATAAACTTCGTTTACCGAAGCTTAGAAAATAAACTCAATTCACTTTCCTGTCACTTCTCTTCGACGAAACATAACGATTTCGCACAAGCAGCTACGTGCTTCTAGGGGTTTGTAATTATTACTCATTATCATTACTCGTTATTATTGCTTGTCATCATTTCTCACCATCATTACTTGTCATCATTACCTGCAATCATTACTTGTAATCATTATCTGTTATTATTATTCATCATCATTACTTGTAATCAATACTTGTCATTATTGTTTGTGATCATTACACGCAATCATTATTCATCATCATAAGCCATAATAATTTATTTTAATTATTACTTTCCATCATTATTCACCATCATTACTCGTAATTATTACTTGTTATCATTACTCATAATTATTACTCATAATCATTACTTGTCATTATTATTTATCATCATTACTTGTAATCAATACTTGTCATTATTGTTTGTGATCATTACACGCAATCATTATTCATCATCACAACCCGTAATAATTTCTTGTAATTATTACTTTTCATCATTATTCGCCATCATTACTCTTAATTTTTACTTGTCATCATTACTTGTCATCATTACTCATAATTATTACTCGTAATCATTACTTGTCGTCATTATTCACCATCATTACTTATAATCATCTCTCGGCACTACTACTTGTCATCTGTACACGTAATCATCATTCATCATCATTACTTGTAATCATTATTCATTATAATTACTCGTAATCATTGCTAGTAATCATTACTCTTGATCATTACAGCATATTAAATTCTCATATTACTTTAGTGAAAGGAAATTTACCCACCTCTTCACAGTGGTAGGAGAGGGTACAAATTGAAGACAATAATTACCCAGTTACTGTAACAACTGTGGCACTAACGTCGCTATCGATCAGCCGTCTCTCTTTAGAGCAATGAGGAAGATGCTGTCGAAGGGTTGGAATCACTAAGACATCCTGTTCTGCGAGCTATCCGAAGAGTAAAGGGGAACAGATACTATTCTTTGAACCTGTATTTACTCGAATTCTTAGGCTACCAGGATATGACACTAGATATTGCCCAGTTTCAACTACCATTGCCTCATTGGCGTTGATATATCCCAACAGTCGCTCTTTCGTTTAATGGAGAAGGTGCTGCGTTGGAATCCCCAGAAACAAGCATTTCTCAAAACTTTTCCGTAAACTGAATGATAGCAGAAACACGACAGACTGGTTTGATTTATTGATGTATTTTGTTATTTAATGCCAATAAAATTTTCAGGATAGGTGCCTATAAAAATTGGGCCGAGTGGTTAGAATGTTCGCATTCTGACCATGAGACCGGGGTTCGAATCTCACTATGGTTGATTTGTCAAGAAGGAGACTCCCTGATGTTATCAGACTGGTGGGGTCGATCCCAGAGTGCTGCAAAGTGCCTGAAAAAAAAAATATACCGCAGGTTGACCCAAGCCTTCTGTGTGAAATTGGCTAGACGAGACTCCTGGGGGCACTGACGTCAAAAGTCATCGTGGCCGAGGGTTTAAGCGTGCTGGCCTTGTTCAAATTGTTGATCACACTAGATAACACACTTTTTCCCAGAAACTGTAACTAAGGTCTGCTCAGTATAGTTGCAGTATAAGCCACTGGTGGGCTCTGTGGGTGTGAGTTTAGGTACAGCCATTGTTGTATGTTAGCTTTGTATTGAATTATTCGTTTTTTACAGCTTATCAACCCTTTACGGGTTTATTTTATTCCGGGCATTTTCGACATAACACAATGTCATTGTCAGGGTGTTGTTTATTGCAAGACAAATACTGTAGCATTCGTCATTATCTAATCAAAATTGCAGTGTTTATCTGAAAGATGATTTTTTTTTTTACTTTTGAAGTGCGTGATTGCTTCAAACCGTTTAAGGGGAGGTAACTAAGTATGGTTTGGTGAGAGTTTTAAAGAAATAAGTAATAAAAACTATTAGTGCAAACCTTGGTATTTTAGAACCAGAAAATATATTCAAACCGTGATAATTTTTTTTAGATAATTAGTTTTGCTGAAACAAATAGATGACGTTTTGCTGCAAGCAAAAAGAGGGGTCGAAAAGTAGCAAGCATTGCTTCTGGAAACAAAACACGGGAAGCTATCGAGAACCATAATCGTCAACGTTGTGAAGGTACATAGAATATAGACTGAGAAACAGAGAGAGTGAGGTCAAGCAATGAAGAGCGAGAAGGGCACATAGAGAGAGAGAGAGAACAAAATAGTGAGAGAGGGTAGAGAGAAAGACGAAAAGTGGTATCGAGCGAGAGATATACATAGAGAGAGAGAGAGAGCAAAAGAGAGAGGGAAAGAGAGAGAAGAGAGAGAGGAAAAAGCGGTAGAAAACGAAAGATACATAGAGAGAAAGGGAGAGGGCGAGAGAGAGCAAAAGAGTAAGATAAAAGAGAGAGTGAAAGCTGTAGAGAGCGAGAGATATACATAGAGAGAGAGAGTAAAAGAGAGAGAGAGAGGGAGAAAGTTAAGAAGGAAAATAGTAGAGAGCGAGAGTGATACATATATATATATAGAGAGAGAGAGCAAAAGAGAGAGGAGTGACTGAGTAAAAGAAAGATGGAAAGAGAGAGAAGAGAGAGAGGAAAAGCGGTAAAGAACGAAAGATACATAGAGACAAAGAGAGAGGGCGAGAGAGGGCAAAAGAGTGGGAAGAGATAAAAGAGAGAGTAAAAGCGGTAGAGAGCGAGAGATATACATAGAGAGAGAGCAAAAGAGAGAGAGGGAGAGAGCTAGAAAGAAAGAAAGAAAGAAAGAAAGAAAGAAAGAAAGAAAGAAAGAAAGAAAGAAGGAAAGTGATAGAGAGCGAAAGCGATACATATAGAAAGAGGGAAAGCCAAAGAAAGAGGGGAGAGATAACAAAAGAGATTGGAAGAGAAAAAGAGATACAACGTTTAGATCAGCGTTTCTCAACTTTTTTACCCTTACGTAACCATTAAAATTAATTACATATCTCAAGGACACCCTGCGTAAAAACAAAATTATATACAACATCTTTTTCCTTTTATTTTTATCATAGTTCTCGTAGTAAATATCATAGTATATCTTTTTGAATAAATGGTTTAAGGAAAAATTAATACTTCTTTGTCAAATTTTTCGGTAATACTAAATAAAACTCATACAGTTTCTTTATAATACTTCATCAGAGAGTTTTCATTCACATACAAAAAATTTCTAAACTTAAACGTAAAAAATAAACACAAGTAACCAATATCATATATTTATAATATAAATGTAAACAGAACAAAAACAGATAATTGCTGCATCAGTTTTTTTTATTGTTTTATCCTTTACTGGCAATGTTGAAAATGCATAAGGCACATCAGGCAACACCTGTTCTTGCGAAACTCTTGGGGACCTTTTGCGGAACCTTAGAGTTGCGGTGAACCCTGCTTGAGAAACGCTGGTTTAGATTAATGAATCCGTAACCTGAAACGTAGCAATTAGCTGACTTTTTTTTTACTGGAATAATGTCTGATTTGCTTCAGTAATATTTCGTATTGAATTAAGTGTGTTGACAGGAAAGAAGATCATGTTGAAAAATAATTAATAATCGCAAAAAAAAAAAAACATCTTCATTTATCATGATGCTAAACGTATGCAATATTTTTCGTAATAATTTGGTTCGTTCTCCGTTACTATGGATATCAGAAATGTCAGCATCTTTCTACATTTGACATTTTTAGTTCTTGGTCTCTCTCTAGTTCTATCTATCTATCTATCTATCTATCTATCTATCTATCTATCTATCTATCTTTCTCGCTCTCTCTCGCTTTTCCTCTCTCTCTCTCTCTCTCTCTCTCTCTCTCTATGTGTCTCTCTTGATCTCTACTGCTTTTCCTCTCTTTCTCTATGTATATCTCTCTCCTTCATCCTTTTGCTTTCTCTCTCTTTACCGCTTTTCTTCCCCGTCTCTCTCTCTCTCTCTCTCTTTATTTCTCTTTTCTTTCTCCCTCTCACTTTTGCTCTCTCCATATATGTATGTATTTCTCTCGCTCTCTATCCTTTTCCTCTCTTTGCTTTTCTCTCTCTCTCTCTCTCTCTCTCTCTCTCTATATATATATATATATATATATATATATATATATATATCTCCTCTCTTTTTCTCTCTCTCTCTATCTCTTTTCTGTGTCGTCCTATTTTACTTTCTATCTCTCTCACTCTTTTCACTCTCTACCTCTATATATCTAGCTATTTTTTTCTTTATTTTTTCTTTTTCGTTCTTGCTCTCACTTAAATAAAAATATGAATCGTTTCACCCCAAGCAAAGCTATAATGGCACTAACACGCTGGGAGTTAAAGTGAGTGAAAGGGAAAGAGAAGACTGAGAATAGGGAGGATTAAGGAAAGGACAAAAAAAGGAATAGGTTTCAAGAAAACAGAAGATGACGATTGTCGTGGCATTTAAATTTTTGAAGATTGTAGTTATCAGGGAAGCAAGAAATCGGAAAGGACTTCCACAGAAAAAAACCGTTAGAGTAAAAATGAAGGTTGCATCTCGCTAGTTCAACAGTAAAACGGTGAGACAGTTACCAATCTAGTAGCACGCTTAAATTCTTGCATTCGGGGAACAAGTGCAGTTGCCATGAAAATATATGTAGAAAAGACAAAGGGAGGCCACGTCACGTCGACGTTGACTGAAATCGAGATGCCTGTTCAGGATCGATTACATTACAGACCATTCTTTGAATTTTGGGAAGAATCTCAACATATACAGCAGGAGCAGATATAACAGCAGTATTCAATGAACGAATGGGAGATTTATAAATATGCAAAATGGATTCTGATGAGAAAATTTTTCTAGCACGACACAATGAAGACATGGCATACATTATCAAAAAAAATTAAATTAAAAAGGAAAACAGTTTTGCTATGTTTAATCTCATTTCTTGTAAAGAGATACAAACTTTCATTCCTCGTTTGATTATTTTAATAGTTTCGCCCTAAGCAAAGCGATAAAGCCCCTAAGACGCATGGAGGGGTAACAAGGCGTGTAAGTGAAAGACAATGGGGAGGATTGAAGAAAGGATAAAAGAATGAATAGGATTCAAGAAGACAGGAAGTGACGATTGATGTTGCATTTAATTTTTTAAAAGATTGTAGTTATCAGGGAAGAAAGATATCGGAAGGGAGCTGCATGGAAGGAACTCTTAGAGTAGAAGTGGCGGTGTCATCTAGCTAGTTCAACATTAAAACAGTGAGACCTAATTGCCAATCTAGTAGCACGCTTAAATTTATGTAGTAGCGGCATCAGGAAAAAAATCATTAGAAAAATTGTCATCAAAATATTTGTAGAAAAGACAAAAGGAAGTCAGGTCATGTTGGTGAGAAAGTGACTGAAGCAGAGATGCCTGTTCAGGATCGATTATATTACAGACCCTTCTCTGGATTCTCTTAAGCATCGATATATAGAGCAGGAGGACCAGACATAATATGGCAACAATATTCAAAGCACGGACGACTGGTAGATTTATAAATGTGCAAAATGGATTCTGACGAGAAATTATTTTTCTGGTACTACAGTGAGCCATCTTTCCTTGCAGTAGACGTAGCAATTGATACGATATAGTTACTCCACTTTATGTCAGTGGAAAACGTGATCCCAACAAAGCGTAGTATGTTGACCTCCAGGCGTTTAGACACACTGATGACAGATGGAAATGGTTGTCTGTGATTATTAAATGAAAGCAGTTTTTTTTTTTTTTGTCTTGGAGGCGTTAAAATGTACCTCTTTCTCCCTCTCTCTCTCTTTCTCGCTCTCTCTCTCTCTCTCTCTCTCTCTCTCTCTATCTCTCTATCTATCTCTCACTCACACATGCTCTATATTCATTTTATACATCTTTACGTTTTCGTTTTTATACTTCGTCTCTGTCTCTCGGTCTGTTTGCCTCTCGGTCTGTCTGCCTCTCTTTCTCTATCTTTTTCTTTCTTTCTTTCTTTCTTTCTTTCTATCTTTCTTTCTTTCTTTCTATCTTTCCGTCTTGATTTCCTATATTTTCTTTATTTTTTCGTTTTTGTTCTGTACATGTTTTCTCTCTCTCTCTCTCTCTCTCTCTCTCTCTCTCACACACACACACACATACACACTCATTTACTCTCTCTCTCTCTCTCTCTCTCTCTCTCTCTCCCCTTCTATCTCGCTATCTCAGTTTTTATTTCTATCTAACTTTCATAGTTTCGTAAATTTTATTGTATTTTTTATTTTGTACAAACAGGCTTCGCCCGCTCGCCATCGCTTCGCAAAGTAAGATATATTCGCTACTTGAAATATTTTAAACAAAAATTTTAAATGGCTTAAGGGATTTTTTTCAAATAGAGGTCAACTTGTTAAAAGCCAAATAAAATGCAAATTTCAAACACTTTTCTGCACTATATAAGACAATATTCCTAAACAGAACAATTTTTTGATTGATCGTGCATACGCGTGTGACAATGTGTCGCCCCCGTATTCTGGGGTGAAACGAATGATGTTTCTAACGCTGCTAGCCACGGCCCGAATGGTGATTTGGACGACGCGACAGAAGGAAGTCTTGCGAGGCAACCGTCTTTCTCATCAGGATCTAATCTGATTCTTTGATTAGAACTGATAGAAAATACTTGGTTTCGACAGACTTTAGTGAAAGGTGGGTGATTGAGGCGGCTTTGGTTCGGGTGAACGGGGGTAGCCTTGATTTTCTATTTTAGGTCTACTTATTTCACATCGGAGTAGTTTCATGTGGAAACCTCTCCTGGTTAGGCTAGACAAGATTTGTGTACCTAGTGAGTAAGTGTTGTTCCTGGCCTGCTCCCGGCTACATCTATGGTTATGATCCAAGTTGAGAAAATCAACCTCCCCAGTTTGTTTTGGCTCCCCTTTCATCTCGACTGGTTCAGCTTTATATATTTCCCATATCCGTATATATTTTCTCCTTTCCCTCTTCCTTAGCTAGGGAGCCTCTTGATTTTGTCCAATGGGCAGAATACAACAGCCTCTCTTTTTAGTTATGTTTTAGTTTGCTTTGTGTTGGTATTTAGTATGTTTTTTGGGGTTCATCCCCTCCCATTTCATTGTCAAATATTAGATTTTTATCTATGAAATATTTATTATCATCAAATTTTTGAATCTCGGGGTGCGTTTTGTATGTCCCCCTGGGAAGGTGCGGTATTATGGTGCATGGAGGATTAATTGGTGATGGACGAGTTTTTGTGGTGAATAGCTCAAATTGTAAAGAGTAAAGGGATCGTGAATCGGATTAGCTAAGTATAAGTTAGTGAAGACCAACCTCAACCCCTTTCCTCCTTTTCATCCTTGTGCCATAATTGTATTAATTTACAATAAATATTGTAAAAGTTAAATCAATGGGGCACCTCGAAACGGTGTAATGGTTAAAGTCTCGTTACATCAATTATAGACTTTCTTTTTTCGATCCTCACAGGGTGCCTTCTTAATTTCGGCCTTGTTTACATATCTAAGCTATGGCTTTATAAATTAATATCTTATATGCACCTTGAACTGTAATTTAGCAAGCTTGTCTCGCTAGAACAATTACGACTGAATAGTGAGTTCGGTTTCACTTTTATGAATCTATTCGAACTTGAGCCGCATCTAAGGAACGCTTGGAAAATGACCTTAGCCACCGCGAGGAAATGTAATGACCCCTAATAAAAGCTTGTCTCGCTAGAATAATTACGACTGAGTAGTGAGTTTGGTCCTTGACTTGGGTGGCCCCCCACTTTCGGCCTTGCGCCACATGTAAAAACTTATGTTTAATTGAAAATCACTATTGTGAATGAATTACTCTATCTCGAGCAGTTTGTAACACCCTATTTTTTTCGTCTCTCAACTGCGTCTAGTCCTTGGGCAGAGTGCATCAACAGATCTTCTCGTTGTTGACAGAATACAACTGAAATTAAATTATACTGAGGTGCCCAGCCCAGGGTAACAGCTGCCGTAAGCCGCGCCTTCTTATTGTACATTTTTTAGAGGGAAAAATGCTCGTACCTTCATTTAAACCGAGAGGTTTGTTTTTGTTTTCCGGAATTTTTGTTCAGTTCCAGGTGTACGCGCTCGGGCTCCTCACATTAAACCGACTTTGTGTTGAGTAAATACAAAATAAGTAGCGTTGGCCTTTTAACCTCATTCGTTGGATAATTGCGCTCCAATTTTCGCATTTATTCATATAGATGCCATAATCTACGTTTTACTTAATTAGCTATTATTATGTTTCTCTACCTCTTCAAATGTTGACTGTATAACTATCTCTAATTTCTATTTTTCCCATTTGTACGCTACATTAATCTTATCTTATAAACTGCCCCCTGTTGTGTCACACATGAAATAAAAATAATTGTTCGTACGGAAAGTAAGGACCTACGCGCATCAAATCGTCTTTAAATGACAGCAGAAGAATTGTCGTTGAACTTTTAAAAGGTAAGCTTGAGCATTAATTCAATTCTTAAATGCAGCGATCAAACACACCGTTCATCTGTAGTTTATTGATGCCTATTGCATTTACTCCACCCTAGCTATTGTGATGATGCCCAAACCAAGAGTCCTCCAGAGGAGCTAGCTGAAATGCCGCCCTATCGGTGGGCATTTATGCTAGTTTTTAATAAAAATTGCACTGAAATTTTGGATACAAAAGGAAAATAAAAGTTACTCCCCTTGAACCATGAAAGCAACTATAATGGCTAGTATACTATATTAACATATATGTTTAACCTCGCATAATCTGACAACCTTAAATTTGAGTTCAACGAAAATCTTTCCTTGTGCCTCGGGCTTTTGAATTTAGCTATGAATCATTGAAATCAAACACACACACATACATACACTGTACTTTGTATATAAGATTCTTGCTTTCTCTTTCTTCTACATTTCATGTATTTCCTTTACTTTTTATTCTTTTTTCTTGCTCTCTCTTTCTATCTTCTCTCTCTCTCTTTCTCTCTCTCTCTCTCTCTATCTATCTATCTATCTATCTATCTATTTATTTCTCTTTATCTGCCTACCTATCTTATTTTCTCTTTCACTTCAGAGATTTTATTTCCCTTTTCTTTCTATTTTGGCTGGTCGTTATTCTCTCACGTTTTCCTCTTTTAA